AGTCAACGGGCTGAGGCGGAGTCTGGGTCTCAGAGGAGCTCGCACCGTATGGATGGTGGGCTGAGGGCGAGCAGAGGGGCTGCCAGATGACAGTGGTGGAGGAGGCAGGAGAGGGTGGATGGGCTTGCATTTGTGAGCCTCCGGGCTTAACTTGGGACCAGGAGCCCTCTCAGGCCTGGATATGGGAACAGGATCCTTCTCTGGGCTAGACATGGGAACAGGAACTTTCCCGGGGCTAAACTCAGGAACGGGAGGGACAGAGTTCACCGACAGAGGAGGAAGGAAAGGGGGCAGGTCGCTAAACAAGTCAACTAAGTTTTCCTCCGCTTTGCATTCTCCCAAATCCTTACTCAGCTCACCCTCAGCCACGGTGCAGAGGGCGGAGCTCTACTCCGCGCTCTCTCTGTCTGCGGCATTCTCCCTCGTGGCGAGCTCTGTTGCCTGCTCTCGCACCTTGACTGACGTCACTTGCAGCTCCGGCTCCGCAACGATCCGTTGCTCTGTCACTCCATGCGGAAACGGCTCGTCGGCCGCGGCGAGCTCAGGCTCTCCGTCAACGGTGGGCTCGGACTGATGCTCCGCGCAGTGGAGAGATGGTGGGCTGGGCACTGGGTCGGGAGTGGAACTCTTTCTCGCCAGTGTCCACTCCACAAAGGCGGTGAAATTACCTCGAAGACCATCCTCGGACGACAGCGCTCTGCACGCCATGTTTAAACTGGCATCGTAGAACGCACAGAGCGCATCGTCCGGGTAGGTGGTGAGACTCGCAAGGACCGGGAACAGTCTGGTATGGCCCTCGAGCGATAGAGGAAGTATTCATAGGGGGATCCATAGGGAACACCAGAAACAAAAAACACTGGGTAAAACGCAGAAACAAAAACAGAGAGAAAAACGCAGTTAAACTGTTTAAGGGTCCGGTATTCTGTCATGATTCTCTACTGTGAGGAGCGAGGAAGAGACTTTAATGGACATCAAGGGAACCAGGAACACACACGTAGCGGGGAAAGACAACATTCAATACTGGACACAGCCAGGGGCGTGACAATAAAAAGTGACATGGAAGGTTTTTTTTTTTTTTTTGGTGATCATTTTTCTCTCTTGCCTTATTTTAGGGTTAATAGTTTATTTAATTCATATTCGCTTAAGGGGGGGGGGATAAAAGCAGAAACTACTATATATATATATATATATATATAAACAGTGGTGTGAAAAAGTGTTGGCCCCCTTCCTGATTTCTTATTTTTTTGCATGTTTGTCACACTTTAATGTTTCAGATCATCAAACAAATTTAAAAATTAGTAAAAGATAACAAGTGAACACAACATGCAGTTTTTAAATGAATGTTTTTATTATTAAGGGAAAACTAAATCCAAAACTACATGGCCCTGTGTGAAAAAGTGTTTGCCCCCTAAACATAATAACTGGTTGGGCCACCCTTAGCATCAACAACTGCAATCAAGCATTTGCGATAACTTGCAATGAGTCTGTTACAGCGCTGTGGAGGAATTTTGGTCCACTCATCGATGCAGAATTGTTGTATTTCAGCCACATTAGAGGGTTTTCGAGCATAAACCACCTTTTTATCATCTCAATAGGATTCAGGTCAGGACTTTGACTAGGCCACTCCAAAGTCTTCATTTTGTTTTTCTTCAGCCATTCAGAGGTGGACTTGCTGGTGTGTTTTGGATCACATTTACCCAATAAGTAGATTCATACATTCATTCATTCAAATGTAACTCATTACTATAGGTTCTGTTATACTGTATTCATATCCCATATCAAAATTAATAAAATATATAAATATGTTATGAAATAATCTAAGAAATTAAATAGAATAATAAATATACTGAAAAAAACAATTATATTAATCTTATTTATTTATTTAAATGCAATTCAGAAGTATAAGTTCTGTGTATTCATATTTGTATTGCACTTCTAAATATATTCCAGACTTGTGACATATATACAGTATATTTGAAATGTGTATGTCTATATATTTAGAGACCTTTCCAGTCCTGACATCCATCTGTGCTGCTTATCTCAAGTGAAACTCTCACCCCACTTGTTTTCTCCTCTCATTCTTCTCCTTTTTTTCTTGTCTTTTCTCTGCAACACTCTCTGAGTGGTCTGCGGTGGGATTAAAATGGATGTGCTCAGAAGTCAAAGTGGAAGAATTGGCACCAGCGATCGATCAAGTCATTGATAAACTGAAGAGCATCAGTCCACTGAGGGTTCAGAGGAGGAGGATACAGCACTCAGGATAACTGCGAGGGTGGGACATCCCTCGGGCCGTGGCATAGGACCATTCCCTGTGGAGCAGGTTGAAGTGAGGTCAGGGATGCAGGGTAAATTCAGCAATACGGGTTTTATGAGTACACAATGCAACATCACATGTAAGGCGAAGAAGTTCTTAATCTAGTGAGATAATATGCTGACTAAAGCTTTTTGATGCAGATTACAGTCTATTTTAACAGGGAACATTGTCAGAAAGTTTTGGTAAAGTTTACAACAAATGTTCTTCCAGTAACATTGATAGAATGTTAGGGTTCAAAGTTATCTGGTCTCACAACGTTATTTATGCATTGTTCACAGCGTGATTTTTCTGAAACTATTTAGTTAGACATATTTTAACATATATATTAAAACGGGCTGTTTTCATGTTGGTTAACCTCTAGTCATTGTGTAGCTACAGTCATAGGCATGGTTATACCTGCATTGATGATGCGAATGAAAAGAGCACAAAAGACCTGCTGAAATATGAGAACGGGTGTAATTGAACTCAAAAAAGTGTAAAACATCTTCATGATCTTCATGTTCAGAGATCTGCGCCCTAGCTCTGCTGAAGTAGCTTGAGTAGACTGAAACTCATCAAACTGGGAACCATGTGAAGACACTAATTGCAGAAATGGTTGGTGTAGCGTCTGTTGGTTTTAACACCTTGAACATACGGTCCTCAATGTCACCCCTCAATGCCAGACTTCAGCAGAAACAGCTCTTGACACTCACACAAAACTGCTAAAGATGCTCACAGTCATTTCTAAGTCTTGTTAAATCCTGATAATGAGACCCCGTGTCAGTGATTATAGAAGTAGACGTTTGTTTCTTTTTATTTATTCATGCAATTACAATAAATGGAGACTGAAACTTTTAAGCTTTGAAAAGGTAGCAAAACAAATGGTAAAGTTGGCTTTTCTAGGTGGAGATTTGCTTGGCTGTAGTTGCATTCATGAACTTCCTAATAAGCTGTTCTTGCGGTACTGCTAATAAATTTGGCAGGCCATAGGTATGATTCTCGTCAACCAATCACAAGTGTTTTCTTAAGCGTTGGCTTTGAGAGAGATTGACCTCCTGCCGTACCAGCATGCCAGTCGCAAGCCAAGATGGTTTGCCAGCAAAAGTGACTTGCTATTCTTTCAGCAAGGTCAGTCAGTGGGTAGACACTAGGCATGATATCTTGCATCATAGTTAATAGTTACAAATTTAGTTTGTAGCAATTCAATGAGTGTTTGTGTTTTAAGGTTGCCTAATGCAGTGGTTCCCAACCTTTTTTTCACAAGACCCCTATTTTAACACTAACAATTTTTAATGACCCCTGTGAACCCCCTTTTCCAAACAACAGGTTCCACTTTTTTTCTTAAAACCTGATGAACAAATAACAGTAGCACATTTTATTCTGTTAATGTAAATATCAAACAAATCTATCCATTTCACTTATTACCTCAAAAACCTGTAACAGCATGCAAGGGTTCACAAGAACAGACTTTTCAGACAGGCTCTGCTTTTTAACTGATGAACAAACAGGAGCAAATTAAAATCTATTAACATGAATATAATTTAATCAGATAATTAATGTATTATTGTGTTTTTTTGTTTTGTATTCTAAAAACTAAAAACATACATACAATTAAAACATAACAATAACCATTGCATAATAACTATTTTAATATTTTAAGTTATGCGTGTTTTTTCATGACTTTTCTTGTGGTCCTGATTGAATTAAGTCCTTATTTAATTGTTAAAGGCTATTTAATGTGAACTCTGGGCCTGCATATCTAGGGCTAGAGATTGGATATTAGGCATGATTTTCGTGACAGCCAGACGAAAGTCATTGTGCACTTCCAGCTTGTTGCGTGCCTTCGTTTTGATGGTTACCAGAGAGCTAAAAGCAGTTTCGGACAGGTATGTTGTGGCGAATGGCAGGATGAGTCTGGTTGTAGCATGGTGCGCAAGCTTGGGTGCGACGTTGGGTCCTTTCACCAGCCAGAACCGTTTGTACCCGTGTTCGGTAAAGAATCTCCTCAGAAGAGAATTAGACTTGATATCCAAGAGCTCGTCCTCCGCTTCTAAATACTCCACGTCCTCCTCCTTTGCGGTGAATGGATCCATTACCCATGCGCATTTGGCGACATGTTCATCAACATCCGAAAATCGTGATTTCATCTCCTCCTGTAGCCGTTCCATGTGACGTGTGAACTCTTTGCTCAAGGATTCAGGTAAATGTCCCCCAGTCTGTTTGAGAAGTGAAGGAAATTGGTGTAGGTCTCGTTTTATCAGCTTGTTCTTCCTGAAGTCCACTTTATGCACAAATGCGTCAATAATTTCCTTGCATTCCAGCACATTTGCATCCGCGCTCTGCATGCGCTTGTTTGTTTCATTATAGAGGCTGAAAATATCCGCCAGGTATGATGTTCTGATAAGAAATTCATCTGTAATTTCGTCAAACAGTTTCTCGTTGTTCAGTTCAATAAAACGTACCAACACTTGGCCTCTTGATAGCCAGCGCACTTCGGTATGAAGGAGGAGTGTCTGATGCACCTCATCTTCACACAGCTCTGCAAAGATTCGCTTGTTTACCGGACGGGCTTTAATAAAGTTAACGATCTTTACAACTGTCTTCAGCATTTCATTAAGTTCGTCAGCTTAAGTTCATCAGAGAGGTGTTTGCTGGCCAGGGCTTGACGGTGTATCATACAGTGAAACACAAGACAGTGGGGAGCCTTTTCCTTCAAACGTGTATTGAAGCCCTTATGTTTTCCCATCATTGAAGCAGCTCCATCTGTGCAGCATAATTATAGGGAATGTGATGCTTGGTGAAGTACGTGTCAATAACGTGGAAAATATCTTCTCCTCGTGTTGTTGTAGACAAATTAGTTGACTAAAGTATGTCCTGTTTTATTTCGCCGTCTTCAATGTACTGCACATATGCAATGAGGACTGCTTCATCTGCCACAGTAGACGTTTCGTCAAGTTGGATAGAAAATGGGTGCATCTTTAACTTTTCAACCAACAAGTTCTCAACATCATTCGCCATTCTGTCGATTCTGTCTTTTATTGTATTATTGGACAGAGGTACAGTTTTTAGTTTCGAAGCCACCTGTGCCCCGCACATTATTTCTGCCATTTTCACACATGCGGGTTTGAGCAGAGTTTCCCCGATGGTGTGTGGCTTTTTTGATTGGGCAATTAGGAAAGCGCACTCAAAGGATGCAACGGTCGCCTGCCTATTTTCATTTCCAGCTCTAGTCAAAGCATCTCTGATGTTCTGGGGCCTATTTGACATAACTTCTTTTTTCCTTAGGACAAATTCTCTGGGTTTACCAACCGTCTGTGGGTGTTTGGTGCTCTGATGTCTTCTTAGTTTGCAGGGCTTCATGCTTTCATTCGCTAGTCTCTCACCACAGATTACACACTCAGTTCTCACCTTGTCCATTGCTTCAATGAAACCGAATTCAACATAACTGTCCAAATAAGTCCTTGTTTTCTTTTTAGCGCATTCATTTTTATCTTCTCCCTGGCGCTTTGCCATTTTCTCTTTGCTGCGTCTTTTTTTAAAGTTACGTCTGTACGTTCCCACTCTCGCGATACGCTGCAAAAAATTCTCGACGTTAAGAGAATTTCTTCTCTTTCCATAAAATAATTATTTAAAAAAAATATATTTACAATTGAAATATTTATTGTGCTGTTATAAATGAAATATGTATATTTTATTTATTTATTTTTAAAAACGAGTGCACTTGGCGACCCCTCGAAAATTATTAGCGACCCCTAGTGGGGGTCGCGACCCCCGGGTTGGGAACCACTGCCCTAATGCATCAAACTCCGCAAAACGAAATGCCAAACTATACAGTATTAATCCTAGTGTATTAGTAGTATTATTACAGTTTACTTTTTATTTTAGTTAAAGTTAATCCACTTTAAACTTTGGAGTGATAATTAAGATATTCATGTGTTTAAAAACTTTGCTAAAAACTATTAATGTATGCATGTTACGTTTAGAGCCATAAAAAAAAAATTGTTTGTTTGTTTTTCTAGTCACTTTTTTGTCAGTCAATGGAAATACTTACATTCAATTTTAGTTTGTGATAATAATTGGCATAAAATAAAAATATTATTTAACACTACTGAACCAACATCAACGTATACCAGCACAACTAATTTTTATGGCTTAATTCAGACAGAAATAGCTCTTTAAAGAAACAGTTGCAGGTTACTACTTTTTACAGTGCACAAGTTGTAATATAATATTTCAATTCAGATGTTGTATTTGTTTATGTATTTGTTTGTTTATTTTTTAATTCATTCATTCATTCATCATAGCAGATACCATCAGGGTGATTTGGCATCTAATGAATCATGTGTCTTCTCTCTCATACTAGATCGGCAGTGAAGCTGTAAATGTCTTCTGATGTAGTTTGAATGGATGGAGTCTGATCCGTGTGTTTCAGGGGTCTTGGAGCTCAGCTGTGGCTCAGAGTTCCCAGCAGGCCAAGCAGAGGCTGAGGTCGTCTCTGTTGAACTGATCCACACCATCTGTGATGTGTCACTGCAATACATGGAGCTCTGGTTAGTCACGTGACATGACTGAGATAAACAGTATATACTGTATATATATTAGGGCTGCCTTCGACTAAAAATTTTTCTGATCGATTTTCTTTTTCATTTTAAGCATTAGTCAACTAATCTCACGTTTATTAATAAACCATTTAAATCATGCTAATGAGCCTTTAATTGCCTACATAGCCTAATAAGTGCTCAAGCGCATGCATAAAGCTTGCTACAGCACACCGGCAGAAGTAATGATGATGAATGTGTCAGATTAAACTGCATTAACATTTTAATAACCTATTGATAAACTAGTGGTTTCGGCTAAATTAGTGGATTTCGGCTAATGAGATGAATTCGGCGACACTGACTCGTCATGTCCACAGTAGTGGATGCGCCTGCATGCAAATTTCATATGGATTACATAATCTGAGAATATATATATATTTTTTCAGATTTGAATTGTTTCATTTGAAAGTAGACATTTCACTCTCTATAGATATATTTATTATATATTAATTGTCTGTAAGGCAAGTATACACTAAGTTTTGCGCTCAAGTTCACAGAGGCCGAGACGGCAGAAAGCGCATCCTGTTAGCTTTCATTATTTTACAAAAGCGCAATGTTTTGTTGTTATAGTGAGTGCACACAAATAAACGTAGAGGCTTTACAGATTCGAAAGATGTATTACTCTTATCTGTATGACCAAAATGACAGAGTATTTTATTTTAAGAGCAAGTGACTGCACCGGCGCCTCCATCTGTCATGCTGTTCAATTTTCAGTAGCGCGCTACTGTTCAATTTTCACAATCCGCATAGACACTTAAATAGCATTTTTCTAGATTAACATTAGATTGAGCGGCCATATAAAGTAGCTACTACTTCAGATTATAAGTCATATTTGCGGTCGATGAATGATAGGCGAGCGTTTGGATGTACTGTATTACCACAAAATCCAGCCGTTAATGATCTGACGTCACAGACTGCGTAACCTCACCACTTCCTGTGGATTTTTTTTCTGTGACTAAGCGACTAATAAAATTTTGGTCGACCAAGCCTCTTCTCCTCAACTAAAGGTTAGTCGGCTATTAGAGGGCAGCCCTAAATTAGATAAATTAAATATATACATTGGGTACGGAAAGTATTCAGACCCCTTTAAAATTTTCACTCTTAACAATATTGCAGCCATTTGCTAAAATCATTCAAGTTAAGTTTTTTTCCTCATTAATGTACACACAGCACCCCATATTGACAGAAAAACACAGAATTGTTGACGACCAAGCCTCTTCTCCTCAACTAAAGGTTAGTCGGCTATTAGGGGGCAGCCCTAAATTAGATAAATTAAATATATACAGTGGGTACGGAAAGTATTCAGACCCCTTTAAAATATTCACTCTTAACAATATTGCAGCCATTTGCTAAAATCATTCAAGTTAAGTTTTTTTCCTCATTAATGTACAGAGCCCAGAACAAACCCCATGGAAAATCTGTGGAATGACTTGAAGACTGCAGTTAACAAATGGTCACCATCAATTTTAACTGAACTCGAGCAGTTCTGCAAAGAAGAGTTGGCAAATATTGCAAAGTCTAGATGTGCAAAGTTAGTAGAGACATATCCCAACAGATTAAAGGCTGTAATTAAAGCAAAAGGTGGTTCAACAAAATACTGACACAATGGGGTGATTACTCAGTGATTCTGTTTTTTTTTTTCCTGACATATTGGTGTTATATCTTTCACTTGGATGTTATAAGTTGCACTGAGTAAATACAGCTGGATAAAACAA